TGTGAGATGTGTGCCGAGAGCAGAGGCAAGGAGGGGGAGGAGGGAGGAGGGGGAGGAGGAAGGAAGGAAGGAGGGACGCAGGGCACCGTCTCTTCAAAACGAGGACCCAACACCACAGGATGGTTGGGGAAAAATGGGAATCCCACAATTCCTTTTTTTCAAGCTTGGCCCCCGGTCTACTCTTCCACAACAGACCCCCCTCACCTCCCTAAAAAGAGCCCATGAAGCCTTTGAGGGCCCCAAGTCGTTTAATACCTAAAGGAAACTAATGATATCTGCGTTTCCGCACTTCCACTTCTATACGATTCCGAGGCTTTTGCAGGACCTCCAAGGCAGTTCATGGACGCAATAAGCAACCAAACTGATATTACATGAGTTAGCCTATCAAGCCTGGCTAGAACTTGAGCGCGCGAAGCGCGCGCGATGGTTCTAGTATATATATATATATACATATACGCACAAGATTTTACCGGCTCTCCTCGCTTCGCCTTAGATTTTTTTCGTATGGTGTCAGCGAGGTTCGTCGCGACCCGTAATCGCACGCACGGCGGTCCCATTCGGCAATGAGGCCCATGGGGCCCATGATGCCCACAGGGCTGATTCGACCCATTAGGTCCTTAGTGTCAGAGGGCTGAACAGGCTCTTCGCCGCCACTGGAGCGTAAAAGCTCGGGGCGGCAATGTGGAGGAGGGGCACTTCGGGCAGCGCGGCTCCTGGGGATCATGAGGTTCCCAGAGCCCGCAGCCGTACCTGAGTTCAGAGGGCCCTTCGGGCTGATGAGTTTACTGGACATGGAGGCGCGTAGGGCCCATGGCCTCACTGAAGCCCATGGCTCTTTGGCGCTGTAGACCGCGTCGGCTCATGGGGGTTCCTCGGCGTATGGGATTCATAGAAGTGATTTTTCCCACTGGGCCCAGAAGGGTGATAAGGTTCAGGACGGGTCGTCGGGTTCGTAGGGCTCATGGGGTCGACGGGGCTCATGGAGCTCATAGGTCTCGTAAGGCTCTCAGGGGTAGCGTGGGCCGTGGGGTCCATGAGGCTGAAAGGGCTCTTAGGGCTCTTGGGCCTTTCGAGCCCCCTGAGCGGCATCGGGCCCAAAGGGCCCCACAGGGCCCGCAGGGGTCATAGGGCTCGTAGGGCTCATAGGGCGCATAGGTCTTGTAGGGCTCATAGGGCTCATAGGGCTCATAGGACTCGTCGATCGTGGTCAAAGGCGGCACGTCACCCTGTGAACATCGATGCTTGCGTTTGGCGGGTGGGTTAATTGCCATGGGGAACGGATAGGAAGCAGAGCGCGAAGTGAAAGAAATTTGAGCCGAGTGGCCACTGAAGTGAGGCGAGCACTAGATGTGCGAAAGAAGAATATGCAGAGAAGCACACGAGGGAGGAGGGGAAGCAGAAGAACGCAGGAGAACGCAGGAGGTAGAGGAGGCAGAGAGTGGGTGGAAAGGAGAGCGAAGAGAAGGATGAGGACGCTGGAGAGGCGCATGTATTCGAGCAGGGATGTAACCTGACCGGAAGGGCTTGGCATTGCTCTTTCGCAATGTCCTGCCTGCACTCCAGCGTGGGGGTTCTAGGGCTCGTAACCACGAGAAGCATGCAGAGGCTGTGGGGTCAGGGGGTTCGTGTTGCTCTGAGGGCTCGTGGGGGTCGTGGGGTCGTAGGGCTCACACGGGCCTGAGGGTTCGACGTAGGTCATAGGGCCTGTCGGGCTCATCGGGCCTGTAGGAGTTCTAGGTCACATGGGGCTCGGAGGTCACATGGGGCTCTTGGAGCCGTAGGGCTTGTAAACCTCATAGGGCTCTTCTGGCGACTGGGGGTCACAGGGCGCGTAGGGGTCGTCGGACTGAATGGACTCGAGGGCTCATGGGGCTCATACAGCTCATAGGGTCCATAGGGCCCGTAGGGGTGATAGGACTCATCGGGCTCATTGGACTCGTAGGTCTCGTGGGGGTCGTAGGGTCCACAGGGGTCATAGGGCTCAGAGGGTGCACAGGCTCTTTGGGGTTCATGTGGCTCATGTGGCTCATAGGGCTCGTAGGGCTCGTAGGGCTCGTATGGCTCACAGGGCTCATGAAGCTCAGGTGTCTCATGGTGCTCATGGGGCTCATAAGGCTCACAGGGCTGATAGGGCTAATAGAGGCTCATAGCGGCTCACAAGGGTCATAGGTGTCATAGGGGCCATAGGGATCGTAGGGCTCATACGGCTCCTGGGGATTATAGAGTTAGGCGATAGGGCTCGATGGGGCACCATGAGGAACCATAGGGCTCATAGGAATCATAGGGCCGATGGGGCTGATATGGCTGATAGGTGTTATAGGGGTCACAAGGATCATAGGGCTCTTGGGGCTCATGGATTTTTTGGGGCTCGTAAGGGTCAAGGCTCATAGAGGTCGTAGGGCTTTTGGGGCCCATAGGGCTCGTAGGGCTCGCAGGGCTCATGAGGCTCGTTGGGCTCTTAGGCGAGAGGCCTTTTTGGGCTCATAGGGCTCACGGGGCACCATGGGGCACCATACTTAAGGCTCATAGTGTTCATAGGGCCGATAAGGGGTTATCTGGCTGATGAGGGTCATAGGGGTCATAGGGTTCACGGGGCTCATAAAAAAACTGAGGTATTAGGGCTCCGAGGGCTCGTGCGGCTCATGGCCGATAGGGCTGATGTGGCTGATAGGGGATAGGGTTGTAGGGGTCACAGTGCTCATGGGGCTCACAGGGCTCTGAGGTATTAGGGCTCATCAAGCTCATGTGGCTCATGGGGCTCATGTGGCTCGTAAGGCTGAGGGGCTGATGGGGCTAATAGAGGTTACAGGGATCGTAGGGCTCATGGGGCTCGTCGGGCTCACGCGGGTCGTAGTGTTCATTGAGCTCGTAGGGCTCATAGGGCTCGTGGGACTTCGGCGGCTTGTGGGGTTCACAGGGGTGACCAGGGTCATGGGGCTCATAGGGCTCATGGGGCTCACGTGGCACCATAAGGCACCATGGGGCTCATGAAGCTCACAGGGGACGCTTTCAGAAAGGGAGCAGTGGTACCGCAGGGCTGCTTCGCATTCCTCATGGTCATTCCGGCATACGCCTCAAGAACGAAGAGATGGTGACGCCCTGCGTCACTCGCAGCTGCATGGGGCTGTGGTCTCTTAGAGGTGTCTGCGGTGCGTCTTGGGGGCCTCTTGAAGCCTCATGGGGGCTTCTCGGGGGATTCTGGGGACTTCTTGGCAACGTCTTGGAGGCCTCTGGGGGGGGGTCTTGGGGGCAGGATGAAAGCCACACCCTTGAGACTAAGGTCGAACGACCCTCTCTGGAGGCTTTGTGGGGCTCACTTGGGGCCCTGTTTGGACTCTCTTTGGCTGTCTTGGGCGTGTCTGCGGCTGTCTTGGGGCTCTCTTGTTGGGCTGTCTTTGGGGCCCTTGGAGCCGTCTTGGGAACTGTCCGGCGCCTCTTGGGACGTCCTGGGCGTCGTGGAAACCCCAAGCACGAATGTATTGGAAATACTATTCCTCCCGAAGGACTTTGATGATTGTAGTGTCCTGGGGCCGCATTGGGGGACCCCTGGGAGCGTTCTTGAGCTGTCTTGGGGGCCTCCAGGGCCGTCCTGAGACGAGCTTCAGTCGTTTGGGTGTTCCGCGGGGCCGTCTGGAACGCGATCCTGGGCGCGCTCGGGCGGCTTGGGATGGCCAGGAAGGGCCCCCGGAACCGAAAAACGGAATGTCTGCTTGATGGGACCGCCCAGGGCCGAATTCATGTACGGGGGGGCGTCACCCGGGGTTTTCCGTTATAGAGTAGTCGAAGAGGAATGTGTATTCATTTATCTATACACGTATATATACATATCTCTATACTCGTAGCATTAGTTTTATATGTATAAACTTGTCAGTATTAAGTGTCATGTTTTCTTGCGAATATCTATACCCATAACTATATTGTCAGCTTGTTCTAATTATGTAGAGCGTATAGTTATATGTATATATGTATGTATGTATATATATAGCCATTCGTACATATTTGTATATGGATGTGCCGGAACAGCTATACATGAACAGCTATATATATCGGTATATTGTTTTCTTTTTTATCTATGTCTGTACGTACATGTCTCTTGCACTGTCTACAGCTTTGCATATGCGACTATATGTGTGTAGCTGTATCTATGTACGCACAAACATATATGCATACATGCATAATTGTATATACATATATAACACATGTATATGTATCAATCTCTGCCTATGCATATCCGTATATGTATGGATGTATGTACTCATATCAATTCCGATATTTTCACATATAGGTCTACATGTATATATCATTGTACACGTACATATATACATATATATAATTGTATGTATATATATATATTTCCATTCATGTTTATCTGTGCGTAGCTGGATTATATCTACATGTATCAGTGTGTATGCATATACATATATATATATAGACATACATCAATATCTGTATATGCATGCATGCATTTATGCATTCATGTAGGTGTATATATACATACATGTTTATAGGCATATATATATATATATATATATATATGTATGTGAATATGTATACACACATGTTTCACTGGGTTCGACTATGTTTGCGTCTTTGGGCCCTCTTGGGAGGCCACTTGGGCCTCCATTGGGGCGTCTCCAATGCTTCTTGTGCCGTCTTCGGGCCACCTTCCGCGTCTTGCACCGATCGTGCGGCGATTCGGGCCACCCTTGGACCGTCTCGACGGTCTCTTGGGGCGCAGCTCGCCCGTCTTGGGCTCTCTTGGTCTCGAGAAAGTCATGCGGGAACACTCAGATGAGCCCAGAGGGCACGCGGCAAGCCCCGGCAGATTTGAGAGCTAGGGGTCCGGGCCTTTCAAAGAATCCTCAGGATCGAGGGCTGAGGCGTATATAAGGGATTTGGCCAAGGACCCGAGGACACTACAATTCGTGCCTCAGGGCACGGTGGCGGAGAAGGGTCGGTGGAACGAAAGAGCCTCCTTGTTCCCAGTTCTGCCGCCGGAGGCAGACCATAATCATTCTAGACTGGGACGACACGCTGTTCCCGACCTCGTACGTGCGGGAGCCCTTCTCTGTCAGTGCCTGTGCCATCGCGACGCGAAAGTTTAGCTGCCATCGTTTCGCCGTTTGCTCGCGTTTGTCCGCCCCATCCTCTCGCTGATATTGGAGACCTCGGGGGCGTTCTCAGGGGCACATTGAGGAGGGTCAAGGATCAGGTATTCGAGTGATAGTTTCTGCAAAAGGGGCGAGGCATCCCTCAGGTAATTCAGCACTGTGCCCAATCCTTACATGATTCTAGACGCTTCGCGTAACCCCACCAGTTTTTCATTGCTCTGCCCTACCAGTCGCTGGTTAAGGGCTCAGGCGCATCAGTTGTGGAAGGTTCTGTCTCTGGCTACTCTGTTTCCACACCCTGGATGCGTGTTCTGACGTCGCGATGGTCCGCCGCCGCCGTCAGGGTTTCCCCGCTGGACTGTGTCACCAGTCAGTCTGTGCTACCCGTCAGACTCCCTGGATTGACGTCTCGCTCGGGACCGTTTCCTACCCGTTCGTATTCGAACAGTTGGGAACGCCTTACGCGCCATTTTGGCTGCGCTCTGCTTCCTCGGTGCCTGTGTTCAGACTCCCTGGATGCGCCGTTGCATGTTCCTTTCAGGGGCTGCCCTGCAGACTCCCTGGATTTGCACGCCTTGGCTCAGACGCCCTGGGTCGCTGCTGCCTGCCGCCTGACCGCGGCCCCGCGCGCGCCCGCTCCCTAGTCGCGGCCGCAGCCCGACCGTGCCCGCCTGCCGCTGGCGCTTCCGCCTGCGGCTGTTTAAAAAATAACCCCACCAGCACGCACTGGGTGCCACGTGAGTGGATCCGCCACGCTTCCTCCACGGTTGCGCCGTTTTTCTTCGCTCGCGCCTCCCTGCCTTCCCCCAGTCCGGTTGCCGGTCGGTACTCCACCTGCGGGTCCGGCCTGGTTTCCACCTGCCCAGTTGTGGCCGCCCTCTTCTGCTGGCACACGCTCAGCGGCTCTTGCCTGGGTCTGCGTGCCTTCGGCAGGGTTACGGTTCGGCCCCACCTGCGGGTTGGCCTGTGCTCGTTGGTTGCCCAATTGTGGCCGCCTCTCTTTCTAATTTGTTTGCAGGTGCACTCTGCGCGGTCTCGCGCCAATTATCTGTCGCTGTGCCCCAGCCTCGGTCATACCGCCCTCTGGACTTCTCCTTGCGGGCCGCGAATCAAAAAAAGTAACCCCACCAGCCATCTCGCCCTGTGCCCCAGCCGAGAACGTCCCGCTTCCTGGAGCCGTCCTCGAAGCCTCCAATCAAAAAAGTAACCCCACCAGCCCATCCAGCCCCCACAGCCCGGCTCCCCCTCCCCCGCCCTCAATCCGCCCCTTCGCCCCCGTCCCCCACGCTGGTGCTCACCCTGACCGCGGTTGTTAGCTGCTCCCCCTCGCCCCCGGCCCCCGTCCCCACGCCCCCCCGTCTCCGGTCCTTTGCCCCCCGGGCTCTTCACTGGCCCTGCGGCTTTTAAGCTGCATCCCCACACCCGCCCCCCGCCCGCCCCTTTGCCCCCGTCCCCTACGCACCGTCGCCTCATGGGTCCAGGCTTTCGCGACGGTTAGTCGCTTCCCTGATCCGTCCTGGTCCGTCGCTCCTTGCGGCTGTCCTTCCGCAGACGGTGCTTGGACCCACCCTCTATGACCCCAGGCTCTTGCGGCGGTCAGCCGCCCTGATCCGTCCAGCCCGCCCCTCCTCCTGTGGCTGTTCCCCCGCAGGAGGTTCTCGGGTTCACCCACTGTCTTTATTATCTCTGCGGCAATTCGCTGCGACCGCCACCCAGTGCGTCCGTGGCCCTCGGCGCTCCCCCCGGGGCGCTGGGGCTAACAGGCAATGAACTTCCTGGACCGTCTGGCCCGTCCTCCTCCTGCGGTTGCCCCCCCGCAGGAGGTGCACGGGCCTGCCCACTGTTTTCACTATCTCTGCGGCTGTTAGCTGCGACCGCCACCCACAGTGCGACCGTGGCCCTCGGCGCTCCCTCCAGGGGCGTTGGTGCCAAGAGGTAGTATATCGATGGCCTTCCTGGACTGCATGGCCCGTCCCTCCTCCTGCGGCTATCCCACCGCAGGAGGTGCACGGGCCCACCCACTGTTTATTTCTGCGGCTGTTAGCTGCGACCGCCACCCACAGTGCGACCGTGGCCCTCGGCGCTCCCTCCAGGGGCGCTGGGGCCAGTGCCAGCAGACACCAGGCCCCTCTCCCTGCGGCTGCCCCCCCGCAGGAGGTGCTCGGGTCCACCACAGTGCAACCGTGGCCTCTGCACCCGCCGCTCTGCGCTGGTTCCGCTCGGGGGCCATGGTCCGTGGTGCGTCGCGTGCTCGGACGGCACGCATCGCCGATTGGGGTTTCTCTGGATGCAGGGTTCCTGTTGGCACTTATTTGGAAGTTCGCCCGCCTACGCAATGTGGTTACGCGAAATTGTTCCTGACGACGGCGGTTGTGTTCTGGCTCCACATTCGGCGCATGCTGTGTCGTAGCTGAGGAGTAGTTCGTCGAGGATGACGTCGTCGCAATTGGGCGCTGTCGATCCCTTCGACACTCGGGCTCTCCTGGCTTCGGCTTCTGGGCGGCGGTTGAACTAGGTGCGTAGCTTGCAATTTTCGGCTGCTCGCTCGGTGCGCGCGCTTGGCCTCGTTCCCGGCCGCTGTAATTTAGGTCTTTGCTGTGTCTTCCTATCGGCGCGCGGGTCTCCCGCTTGCGCTCGCGAGCAATAAAGTAGCCCCGCCAACCCATCTAGAAGCGATGCCCAGGCCATGCAGGTTGCCCTGATCAGGGTTGCGGAGGATAGTGCAGTGGAGTGCAGAGTTGGGGAAAACGTCGTGCCCCGAGAGGGGGAAAATGGAGGAATAATCGGAGGAGGAGCAGGAGGAACAGGAGGAGGAGGAGGAGGAGGAGGAAGGGGAATAGGGAGAAGGGGGGAGGAGCAGGAGGAATGAGGGAAAACAAGCGGAGGAGAAATACGATGAAATTCTGAAGATGCTGATGCTGAGGATGATGGTGGTGATGATGATGCGGATAATGCTGATCAAGCTGATGATGCGGATGATGAGAATGAGGATGCTTATGAGGATGATGATGCTGCTGATGCTGATGATGATGGTGGTGGTCGTGATGAGATGATGCCAAATAAGGTGATGGTGATTGTGATGGTGATGATGCTGATGGTGTTGGTGATGGTGATGATGATGGCGATGCTGGTGCTACTGCGTGAAGATGCTACTGCCGTTGCTGATGACGATTATCCGGATGAGGATGCTGTCGCTGGCGATGATGATGATGACGCAGTTGACGACGATGGTGATGATGATGATGGTGTTGATGCTACTGATGATGATCACGATGCTGCTGATGAAACTGATGCTGCTGATGAGTATGTGGATGCTGATGATGATGATGATGCTGAGGATGACGATGCTGATGCTGCTGATTTTGATGATGGCGATGACGTTGCTGATGGTGATGGCGATGATGCCGATGGTGGTAATACTGATTGTGCTGGTGATGGTGATGATGCTGGTGATGATGCGGAACATGAGGATTACGATGATGTTGAGGTTTCGGATGATGCCTTTGATAATGATGGCGATGGTGATGATGATACTGATGCTGATGCTGTTGTTGATTATGATGATGGTGCTGATGATAATGGTGATGTTGATGGTGATGACGCCCATGAGTGTGATGATGGTGATGCTGGTGCTGACGATGGTGATAATGAGGCCGATGAAGGTGATGCTGGTGATGGTGATGCTGCTGGTGATGCTGCTCATGATGATGGCGATCATGATGGTGATACGGCTGATGATGATGCTGATGCTGATGAGGATGGTGATGACGATTGTGATGATGATGCTGATGCTGATGGTGGTTATGATGATGCTGCTTCTGATGATGACGCGGATGCTGATGGTGCTGACGATGCTGCTGATTCCGATGCTGATGTGGATGATGACGATGATGATGATGATGATGTTGCTGATGATGATGCAGTTGATGTTAAATATGCTGATGATGACGATGCTGCTGCTGATGATGATTATGTTGACGATTTTGATGATGCTGATGATGATGCTGATTCTGGTGGTGGATGATGATGATGATGATGCTGATGATGATGATGATGATGATGATGATGATGATGATGATGATGATGATGATGATGATGATGATGATGGCGGTGAGGAGGAGGAGGAGGAGGAGGAGGAGGAGGAGGAGGAGGAGGAAGAGGATAATGAGAGGAGGAGAGGAGGAGGAGGGAGGAGGAGAGGAGGAAGAGGAGGAGGCGGAGGAGGAGGAGGAAGAGGAGGAGGAGGAGGAGGAGGAGGAGGAAGAGGAGGAGGAGGAGGAGGAGGAGGAGGAGGAGGAGGAGGAGGAGTGCGAGCAGAACGGCCAGAGGTCTTTTGTATGCCTCTCGGAGTCTTTTCGAATTTCTTTTGAGAGTTTCCTCGGGTCCTCTTGGGGCGTTTTTCGGGTCTCTTGGCCGTCCCAGGGGCCTTTTGAGGCGTCTTGGGTTCTTCCAGGGGGCCTCTTGGGAGCCTTTGTGGGGCATCTTGAGGGCATCGAGGAGGCCTCTTGGGGCCTCCTGTGCACCTCTTGGGGCCGCCTTGGGGCCATGTTGGGACCACCTGGGAAGAGATCGATCAAATGAGGGGGGCTTCATGCTTAAGGCCCCCCCCCCCCCCAGGTGGCCAAACTGTGGCCAACACCTGAGTCAAACCAACAATTTTGGCCTTCTCGCCGAAGCCTCTTGGGGCGTCGTGGGTGCCCCTGGGGGGGCCTCCTGGAGCCTGTTGCGGGTCTATTGGGAGCCGGGGGCATTTTGGGGGTCTTCGGGGCCTCTTGGGGCCTCCTGGGCACCTCGTGGGGACCTCTTGGGGCCTCTTGGGGCCATCTTGGAGGAGGTCGATCAAACGAGGGGCGGTAGAAGAGGCCAACATGAGGCCAACACTTGAGTCAAATCAGTGGTTTTGGCCTTCTCGCCGAGGCCTCTTGGGGCGTCTTGGGTGCCTTCGGG